TTGAACTATTTTCCATTGTTCTCCAGGTGGGCGCCTGATTGCCAAAAACTTCAACTATATTCCCTAGTTTTTTAGGTGGGCACCTGTTTGCCAAAACTTGAACTGTATTCCCTTGTTCTTCAGGTGGGAACCTAATTGCCAAAACATGATCTTTATTCCCTTGTTCTCCATGTGGGCGCCCAATTTCCAAAACTTGAACTATATTCCCTTGTTCTCCAGGTGGTCCAGGTGGGCGCCTGATTGCCAAATTTTGAACTTTATTCCCTTGTTCTCCAAGTGGGCGCCTGATTTCCAAAATTTGAACTATATTTCCTTGTTCTCCAGGTGGGCGCCTGATTGCCCAAAACTTGAACTATATTCCCTTGTTCTCTAGGTGGGCGCATGATTGCCAAAACATGAACTGTATTCCCTTGTTCTCCGGGTGGTCCAGGTGGACGCCTGATTGCCAAAACTTGAACTGTATTCACTTGTTCTCCAGATGGGTGCCTGATTGCTAGAAACTCGAACTATATTCCCTTGTTTTCTAGGTAGGTGCGTAATTGCAAAAAACTTAAACTGTATACCCCTGTTCTCCAAGTGGGTGCCTGGTTGCCAAAAACTTGAACTATATTCCCTTGTTCTCCAGGTGGGCGCTTGATTGCCAAAAACTTGAACTATATTCCCTTGTTCTCCAGGTGGGCGCTTGATTGCGAAATCTTGAACTTTATTCCCTAGTTCTCCAGGTGGGCGCCTGATTGCCAAAACTTAAACTGTATTCCCTTATTCTCCAGGTGGTCCAAGTTGATGACTTATTGCCAAAACTTTAACTGTATTCCCTTTTTCTCTAGGTGGGCGTCTGATTGCCAAATACTTGAACTATTTTCCCTTGTTCTCCAAGTGGGCACCTGATGGCCAAAACATGAACTGTAATCCCTTTTTCTCCACGTGGGCGCCTGATTGCCAAAAACATGAACGATATTCGCTTGTTCTCCAAGTGGGCACTTGAGTGCCAAAAACATAAATTGTATTCCCTTGTTCTCCAGGTGGGCGCTTAATTGCCAAAACTTGAATTGTATTCTCCTGTTCTCCAACTGGGCGCCTCATTGCCATTATTTGAACTGTATTCACTTGTTCTCCAGCTGGGCGCCTGATTGCAAAAACTTGAACTACATTTTCCCTTGTTTTTTTAGGTGGGCACATGATTGCCAAAACTTGAACTGTATTCCCTTTTTCTCCAAGTGGGCGCCTAATTGCCAAATCATAAACTGTAATTGCTTTTCTCCAGGTGGGTGCCTAATTGCCAAATGCTAGAACTGTATTCCCTTGTTTTGTTGGTGGGCGTCAGATTGCCAAAACTTGAACTGTATTCTCTTGTTCTCCAGGTGGGCGCCTGATTGCCAAAACTTGAACTGTATTCTCTTGTTCTCCAGGTGGGCGCCTGATTGCCAAAACTTGAACTGTATTATCCTGTTCTCTAGCTGGACGCCTGATTGCCATTATTTAAACTGTATTCACTTGTTCTCCATGTGGGTGCCTGATTTCCAAAAATATGAACTATATTCCCTTGTTTTTCAGGTGGGCACCTGATTGCCAAAACTTGAACTGTATTCCCTTCTTCTCCAAGTGGGAGCCTAGTTGCCAAAACATGAACTGTAATCCCTTTTTCTCCAGGTGGGCGCCTGATTGCCAAAAACACGAACGATATTCGCTTATTCTCCAGGTGGGCACCTGATTGCCAAAAACATGAATTGTATTCCCTTGTTCTCCAGGTGGGCGCCTGATTGCCAAAACATGAACTTTATTCTCCTGTTCTCCAGCTGGGCGCCTGATTGCTATTATTTGAACTGTATTCACTTGTTCTCCAGGAGGGCACCTGATTGCCAAAACTTGAACTACATTTCCCTGTTCTCCAGCTGGGTGCCTGATTGCCGAAATTTGAACTGTATTCTCTTATTCTCTAGGTGGGCACCTGATTGTCAAAAATTTGAACTATATTCCTTTGTTTTCCAGGTGGGCGCCTGATTGCCAAAAACACGAACGATATTCGCTTATTCTCCAGGCGGGCACCTGATTGCCATAAACATGAATTGTATTCCCTTGTGATCTATGTGGGTGCTTGATTGCCAAAAATTTGAATTGTGTTCGCTTGTTCTCTAGGTGAGCGCCTGATTTCCAAAACTTGAACTTTATTCCCATGTTCTCCAGGTGGGCGCCTGAATGCCAAAACTTGAGCTATATTCCTTTGTTCTCTAGGTGGACCAGGTGGGCGCCTTATTGCCAAAACCTGAACTGTATTTGCATGTTCTCTAGGTGGGCGCCTGATTGCCAAAAACTTGAACTGTATTCCCTTATAATCCAGGTGGGCACCTGATTGACAAAAACTTGAACTGTATTCCCTTGTTCTACTGGGGGGCGCCATATTGCCAAAACATGAACTGTAATCCCTTTTTCTCCAGGTGGGTGCCTGATTGCCAAAACATGAACTATATTCCCTTGTTCTCCAGGTGAACTCTTGATTGCCAAAAGTTGAATTGTATTCCCTTGTTCTCCAAGTTGGCGCCTAATTGCTAAAACATGAACTGTAATCCCTTTTTCTCCAGGTGGACGCCTGATTGCCAAAAACTCAAACTGTATTTCCTTGTTTTCCAGGTGGGCACCAGATTGCCAAAACCTTAACTGTATTCCCTTGTTCTCCAAGTAGGCACCTGATTGCCAAAACATGAACTTTATTCCCTTGTTCTCTAGGTGGGTGCTCGATTGCCAAAACTTGAACTGTATTCCCTTGTTCTCTAGGTGGTCTAGGTGGGCGCCTGATTGCCAAAACATGAACTTTATTCCATTGTTCTCCAGGTTTTAACAATCAAGCGTCCACCTGGACCATTTAGAGAACAAGGGATTGCAGTTCAAGTTTTGGAAATCAGGCACCCACCTGGAGAACAAGAGAATAAAGTTCACGTTTTTGCAATTAAGCGCCCACCTGGAAAACAAGGGAATACAGTTCAAGTTTTTGGCAATCAAGCGCCCACCTGGAGAACAAGGGAATATAGTTCAAGTTTTTGGCAATCAGGCGCCCACTTGGAGAATAAGGGAATACAATTTATGTTTTACGTAATCAGGCGCCTACCTAGAAAACAAAGGAATATAGTTCGAGTTTTTGGCAATCAGGCACCCATCTGGAGAACAAGGGAATATAGTTCAAGTTTTGGCAATCAGGGGTCCACCTGGACCACCTGGAGAACAAGGGAATACAGTTCAAGTTTGGGCAATCAGGTGCCCACCTGGAGAATAAAGAAATATAGTTCAAGTTTTGGGCAATCAGGTGCCCACCTGAAGAACAAGGAAATATAGTTCAAGTTTTGGCAATCAGGCGCCCACCTGGACCATCT